CACTTAGGGGAGTTGGAAAACCCTGATTCCAAACAAATAGTGCACATGGGCTCCAGGATCCTGAGGGAACAAGTTACATAAGAACCTATTGCTGGTCACCGACTACCATGGGACTGAATCTCTCAACGTTGTTCCACTGCCTTGTCGATTAGACATTCAGGTTAAAGGCTCGGAGAGTTGCCCCCTAAGGAAACTATCTGCCTCGATTTGGAAACCCGGGTATCTCAGTCCTCACGCAAATCGAATGATTTATGCGGCGCATATCTGTTTAATGCCCCTTTGTACCAATGTTTATGTCTAAATGTATATAAATATAACTCATTCACCAAGTGCGTAGGTATGAGCTACATTCTAGGTAAGGGTTATTCATACTTCCCAGTTATCCAGACCAAAGTAAGTGGAACGGAGTTTGATCCTGGGACGTAGTGGCTGAAAGTCTAATATCTTACTCAGTAAGCTACCGCTCTGGTTATCTAACTAGTGAGTTAAGCTGAGTTCACTTAAAAAGATGCCATTAGGAACGAGTTATCTCAGTAACATCTAATCCTTGTACTTTGACAAGACATCAGTAACAAACATATGCCGATAAATTCTTCAATAAAGTCAAGTATAACCATTTAAAATCGTTTTATAGTGATTATAGAAATTGTCTAGTTTTAGGAATTGAGCATATTTTTCTGTTAATATCTGCACATCATTTTATATAACCTTGTTGGTTTTATAGAGTATATTACTTTAACGGATTTAGCAAAATACATCATCTCATTGTTACGCTAAAACTGTAATATTACTTATCAAGATCACGGTTTACACGACAGGCCTATGAACACATCATGGTTTATTTGTTGTCGCCAGCATTATTATATGCTGCAATTTATCCACGTTATTTAAATTTATATTTTTGCCTGAGTGAATTTATTTATTGGTAGAATTTTATTATTATGGTTATAGAATTTTCCAAATATTGCAATCTGTTTACCTGGAAATATTTTGGTGTCTTATGTTTGAAAATCTATTTGTATTTAATGACTATCGTAAACATTTAGCAAATAAAGGCGGGCAACTTAAAGCATAGGTCCAAAATGTCCCAAATAATGGGTTGTATTGGAAATATTTACACCATTATAATCTGTTTCACTCGCCACTTTTTTATCCGTACAGCGTAAAGTGGAAATGAATAGGTGCTAAGTAACTAAAACAAAGGTACTCAGCAATTAGAATTGAATGATGTTTAAAATGCATCAGCTTTACTTCAACATCTTTTTATGAACCTGATAACCTGAAGCCCCAAACCTTCGGTCTCGTATCTCTACTGATCCCAGTTGAGAAATTTCAGACCCAGCATTTCAAGACTTCATAAACTGATACTACAATATGTCTGTGATCTAGACCTTTTTAAAACTTCTGACTACTCACCTTTATTCTGGTTAGCATACCACTAAGGTAGGCACATTCAAACCACTTCTTGGCCATCTCAATCAATTAAAGTTTACAAACTCACTAATTCACCATTTTTACATAATGACATAGCTAGTAATTTGTAGGAAGATATCTGGTATCAAGTCCCTGTAACTTCCATGTTTCATACATTCAGTGACGAAATAAAAAGCAATATTTGGAGAATTGTTGCTCACCCAACTCACTGTTTTAGTATTTTCTAACGGTCATTTGATTCACATCAATGACTGCCATCACCCGACTGTATCATCTAGAGATCCTCTACCTCTCTACTAACAAAGTGATCTGAATCATAGGTTTTTGTTTATTACTTTATTGTCTAAATTATTAAAGTAAACAGACTTAATCAAATGTGTTTCAGTCGGTAGAATTATCCCAACGAAAGTCCTAAAATTTGATGACTCCCTAGTCATAAAAATTGCCTACCCCTCCTGAAAAACTGTTTTCCCTCATATTTATTTAGTTAGAATGAAATACTTAAGAATGAAATCCCAAACGACCTATTATTTTTGTATATGTGTACAAGTCAATGAATACCTCGTAGTTGCTTTGACTGACTGTTCGGATTGATATTTTTAGCACAAATACTTTTAATTATCTATTTATATGCTTTTGTATTGACAATTTTTATCTTTGTGTTTAATTTAACAATCCATTGTCTTAGAAGATTTGAAAAAGGCTTAATTCTACCACCACTTAGAACTCCAGTAGGCCCTTCAGTTCCTATGTACAAGAATTGCAACTACCCTATTCCTCCAAACACTGGGAACTTAAATGAACGTAATGCTAATGCAGGAGAGAATAGCACTCGAATAGCTTTATCCAGCAGTGCATTTAATGTAATATTATCAGCTATTGATGCTCTCAAATCTTCCGGACAGTTACCTAGGGGTCTAAATCCAACGTTAAAAGAAAAGAATATCAATGTAACTGAGATTAAAAATTCCAGTCAGCAGATTACTAACAGAGATAATCAGCAATATATATCTCCTGGTTATAATCAAATATCAGAAATTGAAGATCCAGTACACCGTAAGTAAACACCTATTCTGTTGTATGGTAAAATTCTAAGATTGATGTGACTCATTTGTCAAGTAGAAAATGATATACTTTGATTTATACTGTTTGCAATACGTCTAGTGATGCGAGGTTTGTACTTGGGACTTACGGAAATCATGTGTTCCAATTAATAATTCACTGCCTTAGGCGAATTCCCAATTATTGAATTTCTAGACTTTTTAACAGTCAAGCATCCCTATACGTTGCTTCTATTCGTAAGATGGATAAACTACTAAGAACCAATACTCTCCTACACAGTCATACAATGTTTCTAAAACTATCTAGTCATTTGATACAGACAGTAAAATAAACTCGTCTAACGAGTTCATATTATAATTTGAATGATGGATAGCAAACTCTTAACTACATGAGTGACATTTTTATAAATGTGACATTTATTTCCAACACAAAACGATCTGATTGTCTCAGTAATAGTATTTTATTAGTCAAAGTATTAAGTAGTGTTACCATTAATTTTCTTACAAATATTTTTGCTTTATCATGTCTACCGTCTAGGGGCTGTCTGAGATGTACATTTTTTTAATCAGATTAGTTTCATTTCTATAGATTATACCAATTTTTCGTTTTGTCAGATGCTTCCGTAGGTTCGACTGTAAACAATACACCTTTGATTACGAAAATGGAGCATCTTAACCCCTCTCATCACCTAAACGTCTCAAGACCTGTTTATGCTCCCGTGCCAATAAACAGAGAAGGACTGAATAATATCCCAAATTCGCCTCAAAGAGGTGTTGAGTGTCACAAAAATCAAGTCGTTTCAACATCATTTAATCGGCATGCGCAAAACAATCCTCCTTTAAAGTCACTTATTAACCCATATGAACCACAAAATATAATGCACCAACCAGCATCAGATAACCTTACAAATGATGAGAAAATATTCGACGCATACACCATATTTTCAAGACGCTGTGAACTTAAAAAAGCTCAAAAGCAGAACTGGATAAAAACTCCAAGATATTTCAGGCGTGGAATGAGGGGTGAAGTTAACCAGGGTTCAGGCACAAACTCCCAATTCCACAATCCAGCTGGAAGACGATTATCTGCTATTGCTGATTTTCTAGGTGTTAATGAACCACCTACCGAGAGAAAACGAGTTCCTACTTCAAACCACTTAGAATCGCATCCGGCCAGTACTTTACCTTACCATTCGTATTCCTCAAACACCTTTCAATATCCTTCAACTCTAAATAATCATACATCTTTTTCTCAACCTGTATGCCCTCCCGTGTATGCTAATCAGTCTACTAACCATAAAACTCCTTCGATTCCACTCAATCTAATGAATTTGCCCAGATCATTACCACCATATGCCACTCCTAATTCGTATACATTCACAAACCCACATACCAATAGTTCTTTTTGGCCTGTTCATCTCAACCTTGATTCATCCGTACCAAGTGCCTCACAGTCATTACAGTACTATAATTCTTCGTTTCTTCCTACATTCAAGTAACTTCATTTCATTTGATTTATTTGGAGCGTCTACCCAGTGATACTTAAACGGATTAAGAACTTTGTATATAAACTAGTCACTAAAAATGTTACGTAGCCATGTACATAGAATTGAATACATTTTTATCGATTTGCATGTTCTAATCACTACTTACGTGAAGTCTCAAGAGATCTACTTGTAATAAGTATCTTGAGATTCCCCGAAATTCCTTTCTATGGAAATCAGTCGCAAATGTTGTAAACACATGCCACTTTTTCGTACGAACCTTATTTCATACAGCGTTGTATCTAAAACTATTAAAGATGTCCAGTCCTGAAATACAGCTTAAGAGAAATGATATCAATATTGATTCAGATGCATTTCCGTTACATCAAGTGATCTAGTATAGACTGTACTCGTAGGCTTTCGATACATTTTCAATAATATTTTGGCTTAGTAACGAATAATTAGTCCATAGATTCCAATGATTGTAACTGATATATAATCCATTGATTAATATTTTCGGTTGGTGTACTGAAGCCATTGTCGAAACGCTTCAATCTTTTTACTCCAGTTATGGTGCCAGTAGAGAAGAGGATAATCGTCTCGTTCACTGTATTGAAGTCGGGGTTGCGAAATATTACCATAGTGCACGGACGTATTAAAGACTACTAGTAGTTTTCGTCAGCTACATTGATCTAAACAGCGACTCGTATTGTTATACATTCCTCGTCACAATTGTAATGATATAAAATTACGTGAACAGTCCAACTTAATGACTAGAGAACTGATAATGTTGCAGCTACTATAAGCTTTTTCATACTTGTTGCTTACATATATAAAATTTAGCTGAATGAAACCGAGCAATAATTAATAAATTGTATTACCGAGTGACAAAACTATTTATCAATAATTCTTTATGTACGAATAAGTAAATCGTTGACCTTTAAATTCAGACTAAACCTTACTTATGTTTCAAAGATTTCTTTTAGCAATAGACGTGCAAGCGACTGGAATCGAAACGTATGCTTTCTGAAATTAATTATTATTTATTCCATTTAAACACAAACAATGGTACAAGGGGGTACCAAATATATATGCGCCACACTTCATCATCCGATTTGTGCGAGGGCTGAGATACTGTCCGGGCGCCCAAACTGGAATCAATCACTCTATCAGATTGCTTTTTATAACCTGAAAGTTGTAAACTTTGTCTCTTCATGCATTTGAAGTATGTGATCATACAGCAGCATGACTTTGTTTTCCGGTTAAAAACCAACCCGCAATCATTGATGCTATAGTATCAATTGGTTTAAGAAATATCAGTGACAGCTACGACTGAATTATGGGGAGAAAACGAATCTACGTGAATACAATCGTAAAGACGAGTAGGATAGATGTTATACTTGGAAAATTTGAATCCCTAATGACAGATAAAAAAACATGTGTAAAGCTTAGTCTTGTTTCACATCTAGTTACAAGAGAATATGTGGACAATAGCAATCACTTATATAAAACCAAGGAATTAACCAAGGTCCATAGACACATCTTCATCGCTTGTGTGCAGCGATATGTTAGGAGCGTTAGCAGATTTTTCTCTATAATTAACATCCAACTGAAGCACCGATTTGTTAGGCTTTAAAGTCTCACTTGGTGCCATTTTAAAACGAATCCGGTTGGATCCTGGGAGACTTCCTGGTCCAGCAGCAGTCATAAGGTTTTCAGGAAGAGTATCTGGAATATCTAAAACAATAGCAAGAGTAAATAGAATTCCTTGAGTTCTCCAAATTCAGCGACTGGATTTTAGGAAAATTATAGCAAACATATAAAGGTTTATTATTCATCTTCATACGTAATATACAGTAATCCTAAACCCATAGTTGAATCTTTGTTTTGATTAGATCACTCAGGTACATAAAATGATTTATAATCTATTTTGAGCAAGAGCTATAGATTCACTGTGCGACCGGGAATGGTATTATGATAAATAATCGAAAATGTGTACATCGGCAAACACGGCATACACACTGTGACCATTTAAACAATGTTTCCTGTCGATTGAATTCTGAATCTAGCATCACAGTAGTCTGTAAAGTCTATAAAGCCTTTAAAAGGCAATGACATTTTACCAACGCTCCTGGCACTATGAATTACATAGAAGCGATGGTGACAACTATGATGTCCTATACTTGCATATCACAACATCCATAGGGTTTTCATACAACGCCAGCGTGCCATAACTCATATCAGGATACGAAATGAAATCTCCGATGATAGAATCTGAACAGTCAAATAAAATTTAAAGTGTAAATAAGGTATCGCACCAAATTTTACATAGTAAGCCATAACAAGTATGGGATTAGAAATGGATCCTGACTGGTATGTGTTTTTTAAAAGAAATTGTCCCGTCAAGTTTTTTTTGGAAACGTGCAGCTCCTTGTATGCGAGAGGCACCTTCTTCTCCATACAGCAGCACATATCCCAAAGCTAATATTTCTGCCCAGCTTCCATCCAATGTGTTTCACGTATTTTAGGCACCGCCAGACTGTATTTTATTTTCACAGTCACTTGAAAGATCCTTTAACTCCCGATGCAGAGCCTAAATAGTCAAATGACTTTTCTGGCTGTCGTTCTTTTAGCAAGATTCTTTTCTACGGGATAGAGTTGCCAATCTCATCCATAACCCTTCTTTACTCGGGCTTTGGACCGGTAGTGACTCTATAAGGGCTCCACGCTACTCCATACCCCTATTACTTGCTGACGCTAGGTGGAAAAACAGTAGAAGTAGTCAATCTGTGGGACAGCAGCTGTTTGTTCATCATGGCTTTAGGAGAACTCATGAAAATCATGCAACTCAGTGGCATGAGATGTTATTATAATTTAGAATAGAAACTGATAGTCATGCATGTGTAGTTTCCCTTAATTGCGCTGCATGTTTTAATATATACTATTCTTTTATATTTACTAATTGATTAATTATATTGACAGTCGATATTTTGTGAGTAGAAATCTGTGTGCATACACCGTAATAGTGTATATCTATTTTCCTGCATTCACTTAATATAGAAAATAAAAAGGCTGGTCGATTCAATTCACCCTTACCTTTTCCAACTTTATGATTCGAAGCATAAATTCCTTTCCCCGTTAACGCTTCAATACATACATTCAGCATTGTAGAAGCCACATTGCTAGAAGTAGACCCACAGCTCGATGGTTGGACCCCAACAGACCGGTGAAGATAGTCTACTGCAACTTCAAGGTTACCATTGATTGCATGCAACATTGCCAAGCACGCAAGTGTTGTTGAAGACTCAGGCACTAAGCGAAGTGCAAGTTCATGCATAGCTATTGCTTGGCTGTAAAGTCTAACTCAGTTCAAATAAAAGGGTTTTAACATATTTATGTAAAAGTACAGCGAACTAAGTAGTTAGTTATATACTAAATATACCAATACGCTCAACAATCATATGTACAACTTTTTGTCCTAATTATCTACAAATAATCATAATGATCGAAAATTGAAATGCCGCGATGAAAAACATATACAGACTGGTCAGGTGACTCAAGATAGATCTAAGCATTTTTGACTGATTCAGACAAAGAATGATAGTTATATTCCTTATTACAAGACAGTGTGAGCTTATTAACACTATTGGTATTGCGACAATATTTCGTGAGATTTGATTAAGGGTATTATTTCTCAAACGATTGTGATACGAAGATTTCTTATATGAAATTTCAACGAAATAACACTGCGGTTGTGTCTTTATTGACAGTTTTTTTGTTTATGTTCGCATGATTACTTGACAAAATATTTTACTGCCAAGAATAACCGTTATTCTGTTTTATACATGTGTTATTAGTTAGGCAAGTAATGTTTTTCACATATAACTAAATAACACTACACTTGCATTATATTCTCAAGTACAATTAAATCCTATTTAACAACAGTTAAACAGCTTAAACAAATATCACTAGATATGGTCTGTTTATATCTACTAGATTGTGTGAGTTTTCAACTGACAAGAAACCTGTTGGAATAATAAGATACTAATATTTAAAACATTGTAGACATAAAATTTCATTTACCCCATTTTCCTATAAGAATGTGCTAAATTATTAACAAGAGGCTCCCAGAAAGGCGAAGGAACTTGCCCACTTAATTCACAAGCCTTTTCATAAGCTCGAACTAGGAATCTTGTAGCGTCTACATATCTAAAAAGGAGTATAGAAAAAAGTTACTAATGAATTGTGATGAAGTAACTAAAATATTTTAGTACTATTCTAATTAGTTCTGAATTTTTGGGTTATGGCTTAATCGGTTACAGTCTTTAACTTTCAACCACTTGATCAAAGGTTAAAATCCCCTGTGGCAGTGTCTGTCATTGAAAGGTGTACCTCAGAAGTGCATAAACCTTGTGAAAGCTTTTTACTCAAACACTACTATTCGAGTTAGAACTTATGGCGAACTGTCATCTGATTTCGCAACCTCAAGCGGTGTCCGACAAGACTATCCACTATCTCCATTTCTAATACTGTTGAAAAGAAATAAGGGTTTAATCCTAAGTAAACCTGACAAAGGAGCTGGTGTAGTACTACTTGACCACCAAGAATATTTGGATAAAATGAGGTTAATTCTAGAGGATGGTACTAAATTCTCCAAACCTAAAGGAGAAGTTGATGAAACATTCCAAATCGAAAAACAGCTAACAGATGTTGCTAAAAATCTTAAGAATAAGGGGTCAATAACCCAAGATTTATATAATAACATACGTCCCATGGGTTCAATAATCCCGCGCTTATATGGACTACCGAAAATACATAATCCGGGTTTACCGTTACGACCTATTTTGGACATGTCAAGTTCACCATACCACAGAATCGCCAAATGGTTAGCGGAAAAATTGGAACCAGTTAGAAGGCAAGTATGTAAATATTTCTATTCATGATACTTTTTAATTTATTGATCGTATCAAGGACGTTAATACTTCCAAAAAACACATGTTCTCGCTTGACGTTAATTCTTTGTTCACTAGCGTACCTTTAACCGAAACGATATGTTATATATGTGAGTATATTGATTCTAACAACATAGATCTAGGTTTGCCTACTGAACACTTGAAAGAACTATTGTTACGCTGTAGTTTTTATGTCCAGTTCAGTTTCAATAATGAAATATATAGACAAAGGGATGAGATCGCAATGGGGTCTCCGCTGGGTCCAATTTTAGCAGACTGTTTCATGGCGAAAGTAGAAAACGACCAACTCCGTTCAATGATCAATCGATTCCACCTACACGTGAGATACATGGACGACACGTTTATCGTTTGTGACAATAATATTGATTTAGATGATATTCTACATACCTTTAACTCATGCCACCCTTCCATAAACTTCACCTTAGAAAGGGAACGACACCAATCAATTCCTTTTCTCGATGTACGTCTGATGAGAAAGAGTAATGGTTCTTTAAAAAGATCCATCTTTAGAAAACAAACATTGAATGACCAGCTAACCAACTTCTATAGCTGATTTCCGTTAAGTAGGAAGAGAAACCTTATCCATTCTTAATGTTATCGAATACATCAGATATGCAGTACGGAATGCATTAACGAAGAACATGCATTCCTCAAGAAAACCTTGACGGAAAATAGTTACCCGGAACGGTTCATAGAAAAGAATACGAATAGAAGTAGTTACGACAAGAAATCTAGTTGTTCCGTTCCGAAGAAAAGCCTTTATATAAGTCTGGAATTAAAAGGTGGTCGAACATCAGACGTTATCGAAAATCGTCTAACAACAACTATTAGAAGAACATTTAACGCGGCAAAACTGCGAATAACCTTCACTAGTAGGAACTTATTTTCTGTATCCATAAAAGATAAGCTTCCGCGTTTGGTCGCCTCCATGTGCATCTACCAGTTCACCTGCTCTTATGGAGCAAGGTACATTGGCCGTAGCCAGCGCTCGCTTTTAACTCGGATACGGGAACATATCCCAGCTTGGTTCTATAAGGGTGAAAGGAAAGCAGTTAGGAGTTCTATACTGGAACACCTAATCGACTATAACCATTCTACGGATCCACAAATTGATTTTAAGGTTGTTTATATGATTCGTTCAAATCTACCCAGATTTCTTCGTATCCAACTTTTAAAAATAGCCGAAGCTCTTACCATCCAGGAGCTTAAACCAGAACTATGCGTACAAAAGAAGTACGTCTTATCGTTACCTTGGCCTTAAGTATTTTGATTATCCTATTATTATTATTGTCATTATTATTATTATGATTACTGCATTCCCCCCTTTACTTATGTCTTATATTCACATTATTTTATTCGTAAATTCTCATCATATCACCTTATTTATTTTTTACACCTCTATGACCTTTAATTATTATATCAAAAACATTTTAATCATCTTATTATATTCACTAAATCTATTGTTATTATTCGTATTACGTAATCTAGTGTTACAACCTTTTTTATTAACTGTGTTCACATATCCTCACGGAATTAGTACTTTTACAAAAACAAAATTTTCATATATATACGATTGTACAGCTTGATAATAAATTCGTTGAAAAGAGATCCCTTCGCTGAACTTCGTGTTTTCATCTCCGTTTCTGTTTAGTTCCATCATATACCTACTGCTGGGAATAACGTTAGTTAGTTTTAATCTTTTTTATACCTTACTACCACTGAAGTAATTACTTCTAAGAATTTGGTGTTTATCTTGCTGTGCTGATGAGGTATGGCAACTTGGACCAATGCATATATGTTCCTGGTCCTACGTTGTAGCTGACTGACTAAAATCCCCTGTCCAATTGTTTAGGTTTAGACACTTAAATAGTAACCTGTAGCCCTGCTCTTCCAATAACGTGGCTAACAGCCGAGAATATAAACTAGTAATTGACGAGTTGCACTAATCATTTTTTTGAATTATGTAAATATATATTTTTCATCAAAGGGTTACATGAAGATACATCACAAACTAATATGTTGACTGTTACGCCATCAAGTGAATTAAGAAAACCCAACACATTTAAGGGAATAAATAAAATTAAACCAAATCCCTTTAGATACGATTATGCCTTTTAAGCTGAACAGCTTAAGTACAAACAGTATTATTACCATTGGCTTTAAAAAGAAGCTAATTATTTAGGACAAACACTTTTTTTAACGGACAGATTTGTTCTATTCGACAAACATGCACAATGACAAAAGCTAAACTATCCAGCTTTAGATTATTGATTCAATAACTCACTACCACTTATGATATATCACCTAAATTCTGTTTTTACCTTTATTATTAAGATTTTATTAAGACTTTAACTAAACGAAGAAGAAACAGACGTTCAGCGCCTCCAGGTTTTCAATGGTGGTCTAGTTTAAATCGACTCATGAACCCGACTGTCGAATTACTACCATCTCCACAACCCCCTACTCTGATAAAGTCAGTCAGTCAGCTACAACGTAGGACCAGGCACATATGTGCATCGGTCCAGGTTGCCATACCGCATCAGCACAACAAGATGAGCACCGGATTCACAGCAGTGGTTAGGTCAAAGGTGGTAATATATAAGAGAAAGATTGCATATAGAGATATAGTACAAGAAGAAAGAATTGGTTCGTAGAAAGAAAGATATGAAGTGATTTTAATCTCTTAGTTTAAGGGAAGACAGGGAGTGTATACACCGACACCATTGTGATCGATTCTGAGCCATGTCACCAAGAGTCTCCAACCATTGGTTACGAAAGTCACGCGGACCCCAACCAAGTAGTCTGCATCTACCAACATGGCTCAGACTAGAAGTTAGTGTCTTCAAGCACTGATGCCACGTTTTGGTTTGGCCGCCCCTAACTTTCTTCCAACCATCTCCAATACCGGATAGCATTGCACGTCGTGGTAGTCGGTGTTCAGGCATACGTAACACGTGGCCCAACCATCTCAGTCTATGAAGATTCATAACTTCATCAACTGATTTACCATCATTCCCTAATACCCTGCGTCTAACCTCACTATTACTTACGCGGTGATCCCAGCAGTATTTCTAAGGCATCTGTGGTCAAATACTAGTAGCTTACGAATATCTTCTACTCTTAATGGCCATGTTTCGCTGCCGTAAAGTAAAACAGAACGGACTGCCGCGCAGTATACCCGTCCTTTTATTGATAGACGGATATCTCGCCTTCGCCACAGGTGACGTAAGTTGGCAAAAGCCAAACGAGCTTTTCGAATCCGTGCTGATAAAGAAGATTAATTAAATCCATTTAAGATTATAGTTTAAATATTAAATGAATATTTCTATGCAAAAAAGCTGAAACGAAGAGTTAGCGATCTCGAACAGTTGAGACCATTACTCACCTACTATTTTCCAAATATGTTTATGTTGTCAGAGTATAATGATATCCTATTGATATAAAACTGCTTACTTATGTGCACTTAGGAATATGGAGTCATTTAAGGCTATTGGAACTATAAAAGAAAAATGATTATAGACCCGAGACTTGCAACCTTAGATTTTAAAGGGCAACAAACAATAGATCACGCGACAGTTGAACACAGATGAAGGAACATATTCAACAACAGATGTGACAAACAGTTCAATATAAATCGTCTCCAGTGCCTGAGATAGTCAATACAATTCAAAATCATAATTGTACACTTTATGCATCGGTTACTAATGCTAGCCCAGAAAATCTATGACGCTTGATTGAGAAAGAAGAAATTCATGTGCCATAACATGGTGATTGATTCAATAGAAATGATATCAAAAACGTTAACGATAGAAGTAATACAAAAAAAATAAACATAATTCACGCACAAAGTTTGCTTACTTTTGTGATTCAAAAGCCAATGTGCCCAGTTCATGTAAAACAAAAGGATCACTTGGACTAATTAAATAGGCTTGATTAAGAAATCGTTCAGCTAGACTGCGATTATTGCTAGCACTGTACTCAATACCAATATACATAATAGGAATATGCGAACTATACAGCGTCAAGATAAAAGAAAACGAACAACAGTGATTACTATTACGAATAACCCATATAGATTGAGATTTTTAATTATTATAGAAGCAACTTTAATTACAAACGTACTAACAACGGGTAGTGAAGTTGTTCGATTTTTTGTCACAATTACTGTTAAGAAATTCACCTTTGACTAAGGAGCTATAAGGCTTCAGAACAACTTTCGCTAACGGAGGTTTGACAGTGCTGTGCTTCATCGTCTAAAACGTGAAGATGTTAAGAAAGCCTGAGTTCCAATAACACTCTCAAATTTTATCTATAAGTTTACAAATACGTTCAACTACTGGGTTTTTTAAAATGATTAGCTTATTCAGTCGTAATCAACTCGTTTCATATCACAACGTTTTGTTACATATTCTACAAGCTGTGTGTTACGACATGAGAAATAACGAGATATCACCAAAATCAGACCATTCTATCTATTGAAATCTGGCCCAGAAACGAGCAAGTATTGACGGCTATAATCTAACAGGCATATTTTATAATATCACCAAAAAAAGTCATCAGTTTGTTAAAAAACGAAGGAATCGAATTCAAGTCTAAAATAAACAACAATTTTCATATGTAGTAATTTGTTCATTTGAAGAACTGAAAGAACAGATGGCTATTTGATTCATATATAATCTCAAGTTACTCTAATGGTTATCGTATTGTGATACTCCATGGTTCTGAGATATAAAGTTTATAAAACAAACAAGAATCTGGCCTTTCGGAAAGTTATGTATTAGTAAAAGATCACGGCTATCGGAGTGATGAAAATTTTATGATGTTGAATTGGATGACTTACTTAGATGACACGTAATTTTGTACTACCGAGAGATAACATTTTTCACAGGTATCGTTGCAAAAAGGATGGGTGTATGTATGCTGATTATATCATTGCTTTAAAACTCCATGAACAGGTCTTTTGATAGATTCAGATGAAGAATGAGATATTACAAATGATCAAGTTTACGATTAGTGATCACCATGTAAAAAATGAGCACAGTCCACGTACAACAGCTTCAAAAAGTTTACAATATAATTGTAATAAATGTATGATATGCATTAAATCCCTACTACACGTACCGTTTCCAAAGTGGATATTAGCGGAGTCCCAGAAAATAAGTCCTAACGTTATGGTAATCGATAATTTAAGAAGTCGAATAATGTTCTGCCCACTTAGATCTGACTTATTGTTGTAAAGAAATGAAAAACTTTCAATGTATTCTTAATTTAAACCTACCCTCGAATAACTTGAGCAGCTGTACAATAGGAAGCAATAGCTTGATCATGTTCCCCATCAGCAGCAAATGCATGCCCAAGTGTAAGCCATATAGGACCATATCTTCTATCTAATTGTGAAGCCTTCCTACAAATTAAATAACATACCGAAACAGTCATTCATAAGTAAAAATTAAGCAATACATATAGTATAATAATTCAATGTCTGAGCAATTACTTACACAAGATGTCGTCTTGCAAGTTCATTCTTCTTAATGCACAGATAATAACAACCCACCGCAAACCAGGCAAGCTATAAAAAAAAAGAAATCTATCTCGAATATCAAAGCTAACTTACTGCACTTGACGGATACACATCCATAAGTTTATGAGATACTTTGAATAACTCTTTAGAAGTAAAACTATAAAAGTCTATGAAAAATCATGTAGATACCATTTGCTTTTTCTAATTCTTTTAAAACAGAAATATGAATTGGCAAACATGAAAGATTATATGGATCTGACTGCATTAATCTAAAGAAAGAAAAAATATTGATGTTATATTACTGTTCTTATTTGTTTTATACCTGGATGTAATATCGTAGCATTCCTGAAATCGACAAACATCTAACATACGTCCAGCTTTATTAACAATAACGTCAACATTATTGGTCAATGAGTCAAATTCACCAGGTACCTTAGTTTCTGATACTGAATTCTTTTAGACAAAGAAATATTTTCAAAAACAATTATACAAACAATTACCTTGTTTAGTTTATCTTTGTAAAGAAATTCAGCCAATTTGCTCATCAACGGATTGAGATGATCAGTGAAATTCAATTCGGTTAGTAAAGCAGATTCTGTTACCAGATAAATAGAACCCCAATTATTACTATCATTACTCACCTTCTTCTGAGCTAATTGATTGAAAGTGTACAAGTTTTTCGAAGGCTTCGTAACATGTTACGTCAAGAAGTAAAGCTTCTTTATAAAATTGCGTTGCCAAAGATCTGTTTTCCATTAATTCATATAACTTTCCCTTCAATAATGCAATACTACTATGAAGCTAAGAAATATCAAGATAGGATATTCAACGAATAGTAAACTACTTGTTCTGTACTAAAACCGCTTATTAAACTGTCTGATACAGTATTCGATTGTTTTGTGGAATCATCATTTACAGCATTCTGACAGTCTGTTGATATACATAGTTGTTTAGATAAAGAACCAGCGACCAGTGACGTTACATTGGAGTTGAAATCGGTAGAATTACAATCAGACTGTTCGAGAAATTCAAGAGCCTTTTTGTATTCTGAGCAAGCGTAATAACACTGGGCAATGAAATAACGACAAACAAGTGATTGCTAGGTTGTTTTTTAAATATCCCAGTTAACGTACTTTTAACTCCTTACAATTTTGAATTAAAGCTATTGCACGATGATATTGTCGACTATAATACAGGGCTTTGGCATAAAGTAATACATCTTCTGAACGATCTAAATTAGTTTATTGAATGAATTTGAGATTATTCCATACATCTTTCTAGACAAACAAGTTTGTCGGCCCAATAACATGCTGTTAAGTACTGCTGCTGTAAAATTTACCAATAAACAGGAAAAATCTCTCAAGATATATAATTATGGTAGTTATTATAAATTAATTTATAAGAATATAATGAGTTGTAATACATATAAGCAAACAAAATTGTTTTCGACTAGATTTTCATCGGGCTTTGCTCTAATATACCGTAATGTTTACGTGCATATTTGAGTAAACAGTAACCATGGAATAGATTATCCTATGCTCGTTTGTTCCCTTTTAGTTCCTTTCGTAAGATTCATTACTATTTGATTATCTGCACGATTTGCATTGAGTGATTTTAACGTTTATTTTTCCGAGCTTTGACCTACCTATGTTTACACATTGATTTGAGCTGTTGTTTTTTATCATTAACAATACACTTGTCACCTTACTATCAACTTATACCTTCTACATATTATGTTTAGTTAAGTAGTCTATTTCTAACGTTTCTAGACCTATTGTAAGTATGTTGTGAAGCGTCACTAATTCATTTTTCCGTTTGTCGTGACATTGCAAATATGCCGTTTTATCGTCATAAACAATCCATCCCATGCTCAAACTATTTTGTATTACTAAATCATAGATTGTAATTTGTGAAAGAAACTCCGGAAGACTAGGTACGACAAAAACAAGAATTATTTACTGAAGATTGTATAAACATTACAAACTAACCATATTAATATTGAGTTCACTGATCACGCAAAATTGCTACTTTAAAATCCAACTGATTAAAAAAGTAGATGTTACCTTACTCTGTCCTAAGCCTAAATTATGACACTTAAGACAGAATGTAACCACCAACTATTCGAAATCTTAAGTACTATGATACAGACAATCAATACTAAAACTATGAAGGGCTAATACGCAAGTGGATAAGACGGACTGAAGCATGACACTCAGTAGTTGGGGGCAGAAATATTGGTGAGCTACAACAATGAGCATGGGTTTTACAGCAGTGTGAAACCACTACAGAATTTCCCTGATTTAGGTGCAAAACAACTCTTCTTAAACTTTATCTTACTGACCACTGCTAGTGTTACATTATCCTGAATAATTAGTGGAACTGGACGGTTATTAACTAACGGAAAGTCCTTATCGGTGAACTTTCAAGTTCAAGTATACAAAACCTGGTCAATCTGGTTTGGCGAGCTTTGGTGTTAATGATAATAAATACAATACATGTTCATAAGTGTAAATAAATGGGTTAGGTTGATGAGTGATAAATACACTGTAAACCATTGCTCAAAATTATCAAATGAATGTCACCTAAACAGATATTGGATGCATGATTATTTCTCTTTAATTCAGACTAAGTTTATAATGTGTTGAATTCATTGACATTTTATCTGTCGTCGTCCAACCACGGTATTTCGTATCAGTTGGAACTATCGTGAAGCTCATATTCTCAAATCAGCTCAGAAAATTATACTTGGTTTTTTTTAATGTAAATAATAGAGATATATTTGATGGAATCGAAATTCATCTTACGATCTATGGCGAAGATTTATTTATTTATTTATTTGAACACATAAATATTGGTACAAGAGAGCGCCAATATATATGCGCCACACAAAACAATGGGAATTCGAAGAGAAGTAGAAAGAAAAGAAAAAAAAACTAAGGAACGCAAAAGAAAAAGAGAGTAATGACGAAGAGGTACAATCAGAAGAAATCTTTCAGGTAAAGGAGACACAACCACTTTTTATGAAGAAAGTAAAAGAAGGTTACAGCAGGATCGCCACTGGCTTCTATTCTGAGCCATATCTGATAACGTCTCTAGCCACTGTGTTGCACCATCTCTCGGACCCCAACCAGGGAGTCGTGAAGGACCAACACAAGCCAGTCCTTTGCAGCTTTCTTTCATGCCACGACACCATGTCATGCACTGACCACCTCTCCGCTTCTTCCAACCAGTCCCAGAGTCGGCAAATAATGCACGACGTGGAATTCTCTGGGACGACATTCGGAGAACATGTCCAAGCCACTGAAGTCGGTGTTTCAAGATGGTGACACCAATTGAGTTATCATCTCTGTGCCCGAACACACGATGCCGAACCTCTGCATTACTGACATGGTGTTGCCACTGAATGTCAGCAATCCTTCGGAGACAGCGATGATCGAACACAGAGAGTCGTCTAACGTCCTCAACTCGGAGAGGCCAGGTTTCACAAGCATAGAGCAAAACTGCTCTCACCGACGCGTTGTAGATCCGGCCTTTTACAGCCAGACTAACATCACGAAGGCGCCAAAGGTGGCCCAGATTGGCATAAGCCGCTCTGGCTTTCACTATTCGTGCATTGATCTCATCACTCACACCCCCACCAGCACTTATGCAGCTACCCAGATACACGAACTTCTCAACTACGTCTATCTGCTCACCATCCAGGGTGAGTACAGGATTAGAATCCTGCCAGTCTTGTAGAAGTACTTTGCACTTCGAAGGTGCAAAGCACATACCATACCTACGGACATTGATTGCCAACTGATTAAGTGCGGATTGCATGCCTTGGGCATTATCGCACAGTAAGACAATATCGTCCGCATACTCAAGGTCGAGAAGTCTTTCTCCAGGCAACAGATCCACACCACCATTACTTACATTCATCAGAGCTGTTTCCAGAATGTCATCGATGGCAAAGTTGAAGAGGAATGGTGAGATTGGGCAACCCTGCCTAACCCCACTGCTCGAATGGAACAATGGAGAGAGGTGGTTGTATGCCCTCACTCTGCCTGAGGTGTTTTTATACAGGGCTTTTAGGATGTTAATAAACTTCTCAGGCACACCCTTCTTCAATAGACAATCCCAGAGAACAGTCCTATCCAACGAATCGAAGGCAGCCCTGATGTCAAGAAACACTACGATTGTTGGCCTTTGAAATGTATGGCGGTGTTCTAACATTTGGCGGAGGGTGAAGATATGATCAATACATCCTCGACCAGAACGAAACCCAGCCTGCTCCTCGCGAGTCAATCTTTCTCGGGTTTTGAACAACCTACGAAGAATGACGGAAGCCAATAGCTTGGACGCAATCGGAAGTAAACTTATCCCCCGATAGTTGTTACAAGAACGACGTGAACCCTTTTTAAAAATAGGGACAACTATCGACTCATTCCATGACGTTGGTACACTCTCTAGTTCCCAAACCTTTGTAAACAACGTCGTCAATTCCTTAGTCAAAAAGTCACCACCATCTTTAAAAGAGCCGGAGGTAAGTCATCTGGGCCAGGTGATTTGTAACGCTTCAAGAGTTGGAGTTCCTTGCGGACTTCCTCCTCATTTGGTGGATCAGTCGTCACCGGCCATGGAGGGCAGGACAGTCTGACCGATGTTACCGGAGCAGCAGGCCAGTTGAACTGCCCTTCGAAAAATTCTGCCCATCGTCCAAGACGTCGATGGATGTTAGTGATTGGCATCCCATCATCCTCGCAGATTGTTTCACTCACACCAGACTTCTTGCTGCCAGTGGCTCGGATGAGTTGGAAGAGCTTCCGGTAGTTACCAGATGCAGCTGCTGCTTCCAGCTCATTAGCACGCATCGACCACCAGGCTTCTCGGTCCTTACGCAAGCTTTGCCCGATTTCCTTACATAGCATCCTTCGTTTATGGTCAAACTCACGGTTACCCGGAGTAGACCGACGGGCTTCAATGAGTTGTAAGGAACCTGCAGAAACCCAGTGCTTAAAAGCGGGACGTTTCGCAAAACCACAACTGACTGTTCCCGCCATTTTCATGGCGTCATGCAATTGCAACCAATGCTCATCTATACTTTTCGGTGGAGTGGTAGCTAGCCTAGAGGCTAGCTCAGTTCGATACTTACTTGCAACAGAAGTTGCAACCAGCTTGCTAACATCAATTCGTTGATGGCGTTCACTTCGTTGTCCACTGAAAAGTAAGGCAAGATTGGCGCAGACCAAGGCATGGTCAGAGTCCAGATAGGTACTCCAAAAGGAGCGGCAGTCTTGTACACAACCACGCCAGCGGTAGCTGATCGCGATGTGATCAATCTGAGTCCAGACTTGAGATGCAGAGGGAGGACGCCAGGTGGCACATCGGCGATGACTGTGCCGAAAGTTAGTGCTAGCCAGAAACAGGTTGTGGTCTGCGCAAAGTTGCAGTAGACGGTCCCCGTTATCTGACCTGCGACCAACGAGTCCCCATCGGCCACCTAAACGACTCTCTTCTGTGCCTAGACGCCCGACCTGAGCATTCAAGTCTCCGGCTAGTACTACAATATCTGTCGAACGCACTTTCTGGAGAAGAACTGATAACTGGTGGTAAAACTCATCCTTGATTGCATCCGGGCTGCAATCTGTCGGGGCATAGGCGGAGATGACGAAAAGACATCGTTTCTCACGCCGATTTCTTCTCACTTTGATGGAACTTTCTAATCTAACAGCACATAACCGACTGTTAATGGGGATCCAATCGACTAGTGCTGCCTCAGCTCTAGCGCTTAGTGCGACACCAACGCCAGCAAAACCAGACGAAGATGCTACAGGGTCCCCGGATAAGCGCACGTAAAACAAGCTTTTCGAAGCGACAGATGGAGATCGAATTTGTAGTACTTCGCCAGAGTCTTGAATACGGGTCTCGGATAGACAACACACGTCGATATTAAGACTTTCCAAAGACATAGCCAGCCCTATCTGTTGTCCGACCTGCATAAATGTGCGAACGTTGAAGGCAGCCAGTTTGAATGATGCACGTGGTTTCAGAAAATCTGCTTCAGTCCTCGTATTCGGTGGTAGCATACAATTTTCAACCAGACAGTGACTCGAGAACGTTTAGATACAGTCGGAATTCCACCAAAGACGAGCCGCTGTATAAGTATAAAAGAAGGTGAATAATGTGGAAAATAATAATAATAATGATAATAATAACAATAATGACAATAATAGTAGTAATAATAATATTAGTATTAATAATGACAATAATTGAAGTGATCATAATTTGAATCAATTGATTGTTTTTCAAAGCGACAAAAGTAGTTTCCATAGACATAAACAGTTCATCATTTGTGTGTGGGCTGTGATACTGCCCGGGTGCCCAAACCGAAGCAGGTGGTTATCTTAGGGGGCCACTCCCCGAGCCTTTGACCTAAAGGTCTAACCCACAAGGCAGTGGAGCATCGTAAGGAGATGCAGTCCCATGGTAGCCGGTGACCAACGATTGGTTCATACGCCATTCGTTCCCGCAGGATACTGGAGCCCATGTGCACCATTGATTTGGAATCCGGTTAAAGCACCGGACATTCGCTTCTCGTCCTCTCATTTTCGTAAACAACACCCCCGCCACGAGAAGGCAATGAGTAGGACTTCCCTGGCAGAGGCTATATACGCGTGGCCGTGTGAGAGTATTTCGAGAGGGAGAGCGGACTCTCCCCACTCTCGGCCGTACCAGGGCATTCAGGGGGCCTATGGCGAAGAGATGTTTACGAAATTACATGTTGGACAAAAGTTAATGTTTCCAATAAAACGAAGTTGATGTTACTGGAGAGCACTAACTCACATGATCAGTTATCAGTCAGTCAGTCAGTAACAACGTAGAACTTCGTACGTACGTACATCAGTTCGAGTTGCCACACCACATTAGCAACTCAGGTCATGATCAGTTATGACCCGACCGTTGCTACCACTTTGACGTAGTGGTCGAGCTTGCCTATCGTGATAGACCGATCGGGCTATACTGGCTGGAAAGATCGTTCCTCAAGGTCCTACCATGTCAGATAGGTCGGTTGAAGAACGGTAAGACTAAAAGCAGTAAACTCAAGGTCCGAGGGTAAAGTCGTACTGCTGAATGCACAGAATTGTGACGGCAGTGAAGTGTTTCCCTTAGACAACCAGCATGACAGCGATGCTGCCTTTCCATAAACGAAGGGTGGGGGTTAGAAAAGGTCGACCCTAGAAATACACACCTCGCCTTATACCACGGATATCCGTATCCGTCAGTGGGGTCTCAGGAAGTACGGAGTTAACACAAAAAGTACCCACAGCGAAAACTATGATTTATGGACGAACCAATAAGGTATACAATAAGAGGTCTTTGAGTAAATGTAATTTCTAACCCTAACCATCAACTGTAAATCACAATTCTAATTCCCCACACTGGTTTATAACCCTCGTTTGGTCCTAGTTATTAGGTGGACACTAGTGTCGCTCAAAGGTCGTTCATAAATTAGTCTCACTGTATCCACAAAAAGGTCGTGTGACCGACCTTGTCTCTGCGGTCATGTTCTCAGGTCGTTAAGATCAGCTCTAACGTAATTTCCTTTTCAGGTACCTGTAGAAGAACCCTTCCACGGTGTGAGCAACCGGGAATTGACAGGCGCCCCATACTTCTAACCGCACTCAAAGCCACTGTGTTCATTATTAATTTCCCTCTTCTGTGATTAGTTATAAACACCGATTGCAGTGATCCAAGTATTCCAACATTAGGTCTTCGGAGTTTTTGCTGACTTTGAACTTGATCTGAGAGAATAACAATGAGAAAACCTTCGCTAGATAGTTAAGGGTTAGTAACTAGCGGTGTTATAAGGCCTTTTGAATTTAATGAGGAAACTGGGAGATATGAACTTCTGTCGAAGTGGTCTTATATTAGTTTTTGGAATACAAAATGGTGTTTTTGTTTACATTTCTTATATGTTTATGTGTACGAACGATCATTTGTGAAAAAAGTTCCGATAGTCCAAAAACAGAAGTTGGATAGTCTGGGTATGATCAAGTGTTCATTACCACTCTCTGTACTAATGCGATTCTCCGCAACAACAAGCAATATTGAAAATCCTGGGTTATGACTCAACACCAGAACGTAATATCTACAGAGCGGAGAACTCAGAGGACTGATAGAATTTTTCCCGTGTACCCACCTCTGAAAATATTTGGACATAAGTATTTGTGATTTCGAATGACAAGGTCGTCATCTATTGGCCACTGGAATAGTCAGTAAAATTATGGAACTTATCCCAGTAGTCAACAGTTATTAATCATTACCCAATCTCCGTATTTTGGGGAAATCTGCAAAATTTTAGTAGTTTTCTGCAATTTTCCCAAGATTTTCTATAGCGACTTCCGCGAAATTCCCTCAAAACGGATAAAAAATTTCCACAAATTTGAGAGATTAGACGTTTGACAAGTTTGCTCACAAGTAACACTACATGATCACTTATAAACACCCAAAATAGGTAGGATTCGGCTTAAATCGTACTATAAAAACTAACCAACTCCATGTTTGACAAAACATGTTTCCGTAGAACATCTGACAGACACATAGCACCACCTCTAAAAGGCGCGGGCAATCAACGGTAATATCCAATCCTTGTTACGTAGAGAATGAAACGTTAAACTCCTGTTTCTTATGATTTTTGTCATAATACACCAATATCACTCGGTTATGAGCTCAGATTGTTTTCTAAAAACAACAAAAACCTATAAATGACGGGTGAATTTATCCGCAACGCAACCATGTTAACTCAATGTGTCACATAGGGTCATCTGTGAGTTCAAGCAACCACAGATTTTGTCATTTCATAATGTATTTTTAATTAAATAACTAGATTATGCTGTTAAGTTTTCTCTGTTTTTAATTTTTATTCGTCACGTCTGACTACATTACACTGTACCTTCACTGCACGCTGGGATTTTATCCCAAGTCGTAGTGAGTGTAATCACATAGTTGATTGTTTCCAGATAGACCGTCAGTGCATAATGTTACTGAAGAAAGGTTTGTTGTACTGTAAACTATGTTTCTATGAACAACTGACTGTTGTCTTCATATATATATATATATATATATATATATATATATATATATATATCCTTCGTCTTCTGTTAGGTAAGTTCAACTGGCCTTTATTTCGTGTTTTGGTTTTATCGGCTTAATTATTTCCATTTAACTACTTTGAGCAACATGTCTGTGCAAATGAAACAATAACTATGACACTTGCTTAGTTTAGTATTCTTGGTTGTCGTATAATTCAGTTTAGTCGAAAGAATTATGGTATACCTAAGTATAGTGCTTGAAGCCTGTAACGAAACAGATCAGTTTAGTAAGTAGAGCTGCCTGTTCCTAATGAGTATACCGATTCAGACCAATCTGATTAAAAATAGGAAAAAACGTGCCTTTGATGCTGTTGCTGTCATACATTATAAGATAGCGATAAGTATGTTTGTTGTTTATTTCTAAACTGTACATCTATCACTGACCATATTTAATGATCACTGTCATTAAACAATTTCCCCAGCAATAACATCGGTAGCAAGATAGCTAAGCGTTTGAGCTTTTAGTTGCCCGCAAAACAGCAGTATACAGTCTTAGAAGATGAGTGTTCTGTGTCTCAATTAAATGCAGCTGGCTGTGGACAAATGTTAAAAATCTTTTTGACAACTGGGACTTTTAGTTTATCAGACACTAATTCTGCTTGTATGTCTTCCTGTTAAACTAGAAGCAGATGCATGGAAATACTTAAATGGGAGCAAAATAATAAATGCATTGCGATACGGTACTAAGTCCATGTTATGCTTTGCACAAGTAATAGTAGCTGACCTTATATAATATTCATGAACTCAAGGTAAATCACAACTGCATAAATTCTTTACCAAAAAACATGTAATTTGGTTACTTATGTATTCCACATTTCTGACTAAATTCATCACTATTTTTTCATTTCGAATGCAACAGGAGTGAGCCTTCACAGATCCTAAAAACTGTTTCGCCCTTGGAACTATGGCCCTATGGAACTGTTTACGGGAGACCCAACTAACAGCAGATGGATGCTCATTTTAGTCCTACAACCACTTCCAGTATTTTTTGACTTCTTTTACTCTTTCGTTCGGAAAAAAACAACAAAAACTGCGGCTTAACATTACCAATACAACTTTTAAACGGGAACTTGGTTTAAACCTTTGTTTGATATTCGATTCTTAATGAAAGTTCTTGAATAAATTTTTGAATCTAATGCTACTTTGTTTTATCTGCTTGAAGATGACACAGGTATTCAGTGTTCGACAACACTTCTACCAGTAACACCTAATATAATTGGTAACCACCCAGATAAATCAAAAGACAGAGTAGAGGAGATCGCAAGAGTGTATTTGGCGATAACCAAAATATTGGAATTCTCTGATCTAATCTGACTAGCGATTGCGGTTGATGTTGAGCACGGCGTTACCACACCTGATCTGGTGCGGATGCCTGACCGAGCGCCTTCAGCTAGATGAGTCCTTTAAAACATGTGGTCAGCATCCAATGTCGAAAACTTACAGGGCTATTTATTTTGGGGATTTACTTGCCATTACAGATCACTCCCCCCCTAGTGGGTTAAAGATGACCCTAAGACATGGCCAGCCAGAAGTTTAAACCCAGCGAGTTTGTCGTTGGTAAACACTCTTCTAATAGCTTGCTAGGATTAGCAGCGTCTGGTCGTCTTTCCTTACTATATGGGACCAAGGTACAACATGGTAAAAAAAGAAAATGTACAATGAAAATTTCAGCTTTTCATAAGCGTCATCGTTTTTATCCAGCCGTCCTGGAAAAGAAAAAAGAAAATGTAAGTGCATGTCGAAATACACTCGTATGTGCGTAAAAATACAATGTCGGCGAAAAAATTGAAATATACACGTAATATCGTTAAAAAAATTATAATGTTTCTTTTTGTTTTTTTTTGAATAAAAATAAAAATATATAAGCAATTAAAATTGTTTTTTTTTAAAATATATTATATATCGTAAAAGGAAAGATCGAGATAATATTAAATGTCTAGTAGTGCCTTACGTGCAATAGTCGTTTAAATGTTCGGAATATGACTGCATGTGTTGGTTGTCGATTGAGGAATTATGAGTGGGGTCGTGTTGTTTGATTGTACCGAAGGAAAATCGACGTAGATAGGATTTCTATCTAAATACGCTGCTTTAAGGCGATCGATGCTGATGCTATCGTTGGTTCCATTCTTATCGGTTATATAGTACTTCGGTTCGCGTTGAAGAACTTTGAAGGGTCCTTCGTATGCTGATTAGAAGTATCGTCGATGCGAGTCTCGACGAATGAAAACGTGTGTACTATATCGTAAGTCAGGTTGGACGAAAACATCGGTTGATTGAGGTCGAGTGGAAGCAGGTTTAACTGAACGCATTGCGTTTGTAAGCCTGTTCGTGTAGGAGGTTAGATCCATGTTCATTGAAGAGGACGAAGGATCCACGAAGTCTCCTGGAAGTCGAAGTGTCGTTCCATAAACGAGTTGAGCCGCGGTGTATCCAATGTCAGCTTTCACTGCATTGCGGATACCTAGTAAGACGAGTGGAAGAGCGTCGGTCCACTGTGAAACGTTTGCAGCTGATAGCGAAGCTTTCAGTTGTCGGTGAAAACGTTCTGCCAACCCGTTTGCTTGTGGATGGTAGGCGGTCGTTCGGAAGCGAGTGCTTCCTAAAAGAGTGGTCAGACGACGGAAAAGATCAGATTCAAATTGACGTCCGCGGTCTGTAGTGATGGTTGAAGGGCAGCCGAAGTTTGCTACCCATCGTTCGACGAAGGTGCGGGCCACTGTTTCAGCAGTGATGTCCTTGATAGGTACTGCTTCTGGCCATCGAGTGAAACGGTCTACGCAGGTTAAGAGATAAGAGTATCCATTTGAATCTGGTAAAGGTCCTACCAAATCCAGATGAACATGGTCGAAACGAGCATCGGGAGTTTTAAATGAGCCTAAGGGACATTTATTGTGTCTGATAACCTTAGATTTTTGGCAGCTTACACAGGAGCGTGCCCACTCCCTCACGTCTTTATTCATTCCAGGCCAGCAAAACCGTTCTGCTATGAGCTTGATGGTTGCACGAACACCTGGATGCGAAAGTTTGTGCAATGTGTTGAAGACATTGCGTCGACAATGTTTCGGCACGATCGGGCGATCCCTACCTGTAGATGTGTCACAAAGTAAGGTTTTCTTACCTGTTCCCATCTGTTTGATGCGTAGTTTAAGGGTTGTAGACGATAACTCGTGCTGAAGATCACTGTATTCTTTTTGAAGCTCGGCGAGTTTAAGAAGGTCGATTCCTTGGAAACTGTTCGAGGAAGTTATTCGAGACAAGGCGTCTGCGACTACATTGTTTGCTCCAGAAATGTGGTGAATGTCTGAAGTAAACTGCGAAATGCAGTCCAGTTGTCGAGACTTTTCGTGCCTTAAGGTAACCCTCGTGCTATTGATAGAAGAAACCAGAGAAGTGGTGAATAGGTCTTTATTTCGATCTTCGCGCAGTCACAGTGGAGCGTGGGATTATCTGTTCAGACAAACAAAGGCTCTCAACATTCAAGATAATAGGGAATATAACGCTTATGAAAAATAAGGAAGTGAATGAATACTTGAACAATACTGTTTTGGCATAAGCTTGGTTGTTTGGGGTCAACTCTTAACCAACCAACCTGAGCTGTTACATTAGCTTCCCCCTAGAATCGACTTCCGTAGGAACGTCGGTTCGATTAACCTATCTATCGAAAACACCTTAGTTCTATTTCTCATCCCAAGGGAAAATTATCAACTCGCTCACTATTTGACTTACAATCAGTGACGACTAACGCTGTCAACGATAGTCCATGGATGTCTCCTCATTTACTAGCTTGTCATCTTATTTTGTAGCATGTGATCTATTCTACAACTATCGCTGACGGTTTACTGCGTGCTTTCAAGAGAAAGAGTGTGAGAATGTGGAATAAGAATATCTGAGGAAGTGCCGCGTTTCTCAGGCCGAATGGCATGCGTACAGACTCGAATAAGCCAAAGGGTGTAGTAATAGCTGTCTTGGGAATATCTTCATCAGCCACCGGGATATTGTAATATGCCCTGACTAAGTCAATTTTAGTGAATATGTTCATACCCTGTAAACCGTTGGTGAAATCTTGGATATGAGGTATTGGGTACCTATCAGGTACGATTTGACGGTTTAGGGCTCTGTAATCCCCGCACGGTCGCCAGTCACCTTCATTCTTCTTTGGGACCATATGTAAAGGGGATGCCCATTGACTATCAGAGGGACGGATGATACCCAGTTGTAGCATATAATCAAACTCGGCCCTAGCGATTTTGAGCTTATCTGGTGCTAGTCTCCTGGGTTTTGCAAACACCGGTGCACCTTCAGTCTTGATAGTGTGACTCACTTTTAGTTTGTCTTTAGAAGGCTGTGGGTTTGGTTTAGTTAAGTTTGGAAATTCCGTGAGTATATCTTGGAATTTCGCTGTTGTTACTGGGGGAGTTTGAATCAAGTTAAGAGAGTTGATGTGACTTTCTTTGCCTTTTGT